AGAGAGAGAAGGGAAAGGTAGGAGAGAGAGAGGGGGAGATGAGAAGGGAAAGGGGGAGAGAGAGAGTGAGAGAGAGAGGGGGAAAGAGAGAGAAGGGAAGGGTAGGAGAGGGGGAGAGTGAGAAGGGAAAATGGGGAAGAGAGAGAGAGAGAGAGAGAGAGAGAGAGAGAGAGAGAGAGAGAGAGAGAGAGAGAGAGAGAGAAAAGGGAAGGTAGAAGGAGAGAGAGAGGGGGGAGAGTGAGAAGGAAAAAGGGGAAGAGAGAGAGAGAGTGAGAGAGGGGGAGAGAGAGAGAAGGGAAGGGTAGGAGAGGGGGAGAGTGAGAAGGGAAAATAGGGAAGAGAGAGAGAGAGAGAGAGAGAGAGAGAGAGAGAGAGAAAGAGAGAAGTTAAAGGTAGAAGGAGAGAGGGGGAGAGCAAGAAGGGAAAAGGGGGAAGAGAGAGAGCAAGAGAGAGAGATAGAGAGAGAGAGGGAAGGCAAAGAGAGGGAGAGAGAGAGAGGGGGGGGAGAGAGAGAGAGGGGGGGGAGAAAGAGGGGAGAGAGGGGTAGAAGGATAAAGAGGGGGAGATGGAAGAGAGAGAGGGGAGAGAGAGAGGAGGAGGGGAGAGAGATGGGGGAGATGGAAGAGAGAGAGGGGAGAGAGAGGGGAGGAGGGGAGAGAGATGGGAAAAGGAGAGGGAGAGATAAAGAAAGGGAAGATGTTAGAGGGGGAGAGATAAAGAGAGGGGAGAGATGTTAGAGGGGGAGAGATGTTAGAGGGGGTGTTAGAGGGAAGAGATGTTAGAGGGGAGAGATGGGAGAGGGGAGAGGTGGGAGAGGGGAGAGAGAGAGAGAAAGGTATGATAGGTAAGAGAGAGAGAGAAGATAGGTAGAGAGAGAGAGATAGGTAAAGAGTGAGATAAGTAGAGAGAGATAGGTGGAGAGGGAGACAGGTAGTGAGAGAGAGAGGAGTGAGGTTTAGATGGTCAGTTCACAGGAAGGTGTGAAATCCTATGTGTGTGTGTGTGTGTGTGTGTGTGGTGTGTGTGTGTAAACTGTTTTTACAAGTGTTTGTTCCTGTGTGTATGTGTGAGTGTGTGCCCCCACTTCTAAGTATTCATACTGCTAATAAATACCGGTAAATACCAGTGATTCTAAAGCTTACCAATACTTCTAACATTTATCGATTCTACTTATAAAATACAGAAAGTAGCTAGGTTGTAAAATTTAGCTTGTCTCAGCTTAAGTGTCTGACGTTATCCCTCACTACCGCTTTACTCCTTGCACTCTCGTCTATGCTATTTCTACTCTAATTCTGTAATAGCTTGCAGGAGTGAGTGACCAGTATCTAACAGTGATGCAAGACCAGAACTCAGAACCCTGCAACATACAACCTCAACAGGTGAGCAATACTTGTGCTGGCAGTGGTGTGATGACAAGTTGCCAGATGCTGATGACGTAGTCGTCGTACATAGGCCTTCTATCACTATTTTGTAACTCCTTCACCCGTGATGTTTATAACCATATATGCTTATGCATCCTGCATTCCTCAAGTGATTTCACTTTTCACTTATGACAGAATACACTTCACATTCGGTGTTACACTTTATATGTATAATGGCATACAACTGTTGTGACGTCACTGCTTCAGCAGGCCTACTACTGCCACCTTCCTTTGTTATATATTTTATTTTTCCTTTCTCCTTTTGCTTATTAACTTTTTCACTCTCACTGTATGGTGCCCCACATTTCACTTGTTAACCAAACACTGGTAATTCTTGAACACCCGCTTCCACACTCACTTTGATCTTTGTATGTTTGAATCTCTGTGGCAATAGTGCCTAGTAGACCCACAACGGTTTGGCACTTTGAAATATTAATGATTTCAGGCTTCCTCTAGACTTTTTTTTAACTAATAATTTTAGTTATCACTCGTAGGATTGTTCACTGACGTTGTCACTACCACTGTTTACTGCTGGCAGTTACTGCACGCCTTAAAAAACACTAAGGTTCTCAGAGCCTTGTGCCCCACGTCTGCACCCACTGTGTGTGTGTGTGTGTGTGTGTGTGTGTGTGTGTGTGTGTGTGTGTGTGTGTGTGTGTGTGTGTGTGTGTTTTGTGTTTTGTTGTGTGTGTGTGTTTGTGTGTTTGTGTGTGTGTGCGTGCATGTATGTTTGTGTTTGTGTGTGTGTGTGTGTGTGTGTGTGTGTGTGTGTGTGTGTGTGTGCGCTTGTGTGTGTGTGTGTGTGTGTGTGTGTGTGTGTGTGTGTGTGTGTGAATGTGTGTGTTTACTCACCTATTTGTACTCACCTATTTGTGGTTGCAGGGGTCGAGTCATAGCTCCTGACCCCGCCTCTTCACTGATTGCTACTAGGTCCTCTCTCTTTCTGCCCCATGAGCTTTATCATACCTCGCCTTAAAACTATGTATGGTTCCCGCCTCCACTACTTCACTTTCTAGGCCATTCCACGGCCTGACCACTCTATGACTGAAGAAATACTTTCTAACATCCCTTTGATTCATCTGAGTCTTCAACTTCCAATTGTGTCCCATCTCTGGAACATCCCGTCTTTGTCCACCTTGTCTATTCCGCGCAGTATTTTATATGTCGTTATCATGTCTCCCCTGACCCTCCTGTCCTCCAGTGTCGTCAGGCCGATTTCTCTCAACCTTTCTTCGTAGGACAATCCCCGTCCTACGAAGAAACGTGTGTGTGTGTGTGTGTGTGTGTGTGTGTGTGTGTGTGTGTGTGTGTGTGTGTGTGTGTGTGTGTGTGTGTGTGTGTGTGTGTGTGTGTGTGTGTGTGTGTGCGTCAACACGGTAGTGATTGCAGGCTGTCATGATGCCTATCTCCCCCATCAATCTCCAATACTGGAGACTCTCCCACGCGTCAAACCTGTCAATATTCTCCCCTTGATAATCTATTTTCCAATCTAAAACACCAAACTACATTTACACATACAATTCACATAACAAAATGCATATCACAATTTTCGTTAAAAACAGGAGAAGGAAACGCAGCGCATCTTGCAACAGCCTCCTTAGCGCATCTTGCAACACCCTCCTCAGCGCATCTTGCAACAGCCTCCTCAGCGCATCTTGCAACAGCCTCTTCAGCGCATCTTGCAACAGCCTTCTCAGCGCATCTTGCAACAGCCTCCTCAGCGCATCTTGCAACAGCCTCTTCAGCGCATCTTGCAACAGCTTCCTCAGCCCATCTTGCAACAGCCTCCTCAGCGCATCTTGCAACAGCTTCCTCAGCGAATCTTGCAACAGCCTCCCCAGCCCATCTTGCAACAGCTTCCTCAGCGCATCTTGCAACAGCCTCCTCAGCGCATCTTGCAACAGCCTCTTCAGCGCATCTTGCAACAGCCTCCTCAGCGCATCTTGCAACAGCTTCCTCAGCTTTTCACGCGATAAATTCTGCAATGTAAAATCATGTGGTATTTCACCTGTCGCTGTGTAATTGGCAACAGGCGCTTAATGTCATGCTTGAAGCTGTCACTCACGGAGGTCCTACCATGTGATCCTTGAAGCTGTCACTCAAGGAGGTCCTCTCATTCATCCTTAAAACTATGGTGAAGCTCAAAACCCGTAGGTGTTAAACAGCCTCTAGGGAAGTGGAGATATCAGGCTTGATCCAAGAAACGGTATGGAAGCTCGAATTTCTTGCATCAAGAGCCCTTCTCCAGCATTAACCCATGTCTCTCAATGAAAGATTCTCTCGTGATGGAGAGACAGCATCCTCACTCTGGGATGACATAGCATGATGGAGGAACATCATCCGGCACCCTCATTATGATCCAGAATGATAGCGCCAACATCCTTCACTCTAGTATGAAGCGGTACACTAGGGGAACCTCATCCGGCACTGTATAATGACGCTGAGTGCTAGAATGATACACTTTCGGTATAATGTCGGTATAATGCGCACACTATGATAAGCTAGGATGATGGACGTGTATTACCAGCACTCAGTATATGTCTGGGGCCCAAGACTGTTCAACAGCCTCCTACCAAGCATAATTACCAATAGACCCCTGGCTGCCTTTAAGAGGGAGCTGGACAGATACCTACAGTCATTACCCGGTTAGCCGGGCCGTGGTGTGGCCCGGTTTAATCGGTTGATCAGACCCTGATCAAGGCCTGGTCAAGGACTGGGCTGCGAGGGCGCTGGCCCCCCGGAACACCCTCCAGGTAGACTCAGTATAGACAAATAACTAATAGTGTTCCAGGTGTGTCATGCTTGTACCTACGGTTACAATAGTTCCTTATTTAACCTGCTGTCAGTTGTTTATTGTAAATTTCCTTCACGACCGATCTTTATGTATAGTTTTACTGGCTCGTCAGGTCACTCGACCTTGTTTTCGAAAACATTCGACTGGTCTTTAAAAATCCCCTAGGGTTAAATTATAGACTGCAGTACTGAGTACATGCAAATTCAAGGTCAAATAAAGTTACATTATCGTCAAGGAGATTATGTGCCTTGATGCTGGTAAATAAACCTTCGGTGCTTCATAGGGAGGTAAAGTCTGTCGACTACACAAGAGTCATTAAGGCTGCATATCACCTGTTCACCACCAGGCATGAACATTTTAAGTTTTAAAATAGGAATTAAAGTAGACTATCACTATATGTCTCTCACTGTATATACATTAAGACACACTGACTGGTTCACCATCCTTGACTAGTGGTGAACAACTTCAAAACTCTTCACCACCAGTCAAGGATATTTTGATCCATTAAAAGGGGATTACAGCCAACTCTCAGTGAATATGCAGTTAAAAATTCACTCTTCACGATGTATATAACCTTTGAAGCTTCGAGATCTGAGAAGCTGAGTAGTGAGGCGTCAGGCGAGAGCTTCATATTTACGCTGCTGAACATGTGAACGCAGGTTACACACACTGAGATGTGTGTCTCTCATCGTATATATAATGAAAGACACACAGAAAGAGTCTATTTTTATTCCTGTTTTAGGAATTAAAATATTCATGACTGAGAGTGAACAGGTGATATGTAGCCTTTTAATGACCTTCATGTAGTCTACAGACTTTAAACCCCATTAACCAACCAACCAATCAGGTTTATGAAGCTGGGTGCTGGGGCTTCGAATATGTTGTGGCGAACGTGAGCGTGTTATACCTTCAGTCAGCGTCTGGACAGTGAATAGAGGTTATATTACGTCTCATTGATTATTCGTTATAGATATTTCGTTATGGGGATGTTTTAATATTAATTTGGGTTTTAATTATTTTATCTCAGTTTTTAAAGGATTCTCTCTCAGATTTCTATTTTACCACTTGTTACTAAATAATTATTATTTATTATTATTAAAGATTCGCCGGTATTCTCCCGGCCCGGGCCTTGTCCAAGTGGTGGCCCGCCTTGGCTCCCTCTTAGGGGACTGTCTGAGACCTAAGTCTCCCATGGGAGGAGGCACAAGTACCTCCTCATCTTTGGGACCAACTGTCCCCAGGCCTAGCCACAAGCTAGGCCTCTCTGGTCTGCCATCCCCGCCCCAAGGGGGCAAATGGGAATGACAGTCTTATGAGCTAAAGACTCGGGCTCAGGCACCTACCCTACCCTAGAAGGGTTAGGCATGGTGTAGATGATGTACTAAATAAATACTTAGGACAAACAATATTGAATATCCAATCAGGTTTTTCTTTATTATATGAGAGTATGTACGTATATTTACTTTTGCTAATCATAAGAAAATCAGCATTTTTAAAATCTTTTAGATATTCATTTTACGTAACTGCTTATTACTTCCCTAAATAATTTAATTTTACTTTCCCTCCTTTCTTGCACTTACAAGGATACTTCTAAAATTTTAAGTAAAACATCTTTTCCTACACATTACTCATTAAACATGTGTACTTTTCAGTGTGATGTCAGCCATAGTGACCTGGTTCCTCGTGGTAGTCCTGGTGACTGCCGCCGCCTGTCAGGATAGCGATGGTGCTGGAGGTACAATTAATGAGACTGAATATGTAGCCGTTAACTTGATCTACTACAACGTAGTGGATGACGTGCCCAGCAGTGTCTGGCAAACTGATGCCGCCCAAGTTAAGTTCTCTGTCGCCTCTGGTCTCCTGCTGAAGAACTTCTTGCTGTCCATGTTGCCTACTAAGTACCACACTTTTGCTATGAACACCACGTTTGCTATGTACCTTCTTCCTCAAGAAGTTCCGGACTTCTTACAGCAAGAGTACGCCCTTGTCAATGACACCGCCCAACAGCTGATAGCCCTTCTTAAAGAAGCTTGGGCACGGTTGACAGTGAACTGGTTGACTGTGTTTGAGAGGGAAGTTCCAGCCTTGCACACTAAAATAAATCTTTTAGTGACAGAAAATTCTTGGAAGAACTTGCAGGAAGTGGCGCAGGCAGTTCTGAACTTGGCAAAAGTCCTTGATCCTGTACCTACCTTCAAAGATTTAGTCAACTTTATTGACATAAAGCTGAACGTAAAGGCTAAATTTAGCGAGTGTTACTTAAAATTTAACAAATTTACTAGAGGCATTGATGATTATATAGCTATGACTCAACTAAGTTATGCAAAAAGCGGTAATAAAATAATGGAAGGTGTTCAAGACTTAGTGGGGGCCATATTGAACCGCTATGGACTGACAAGGTCGTCACGCGGCAAGACTGAAATAATAAAAGCCTTTGACTACTTGCACGCTAGTCTTGTAGACTTGAGCCTTAACATCTTCGATACAAGAAAGTCGCCTTTCTTAACAGATTTCCACAAAATAACGCAAGACTATGCTGACTTCAAAGCTACCTTGAAAGCTGATGCCTTAGAAGTATTGCAGAATGTTAACAATTTCTTCCAGTCTCTATGTACAGCTATTAAATGTAGCTTCAACCTCTTCATAAACCCAGAGTTTATTAAGCAAGTAGCAGAGCCTCAGACTATGTTCTCTAAAACTGAACATTGCAGCTTAATGCGTAACAATATGAAGTTCTCTACTAGAATAATGGAGATGCTGAAGGGGCATTCTAGTATACTGGATAACTACAAAAACTTTCTAGAATATGGTGTTTCTTTCTTGTCCTTTTTACTGGAAATATTGAAAGGATCTCCAGAGAGTTTTGACCCTCTGGAGGAGACAGACACGCAGCACTTGCTACCTTCAGAGGAAGATGTAGCGTCAAACTATATAGATTACTCTCCAGACTACAATTCTGTTGCTAGATCTCTAAAGAAATCTCGCTTACCGACAATGAGTATAATACTAGGTAGAAATGGATCGGAAATTTCGAACAAAATTAGCAGCCTGGGAACTAACTCTTCAAAAAATAAAAATTACTTCAGCCTGGTATCTTCCAGGATGCAGACTAAAGAGACTACACAATCGTCAGCCTATGAGAAGATTGACATGATCTCTGGCAACCTCTGGAGCAGAGGTAGACGCGAGTTGTACCATTACGCTCCAGTGGCAACACAACCTCCAGACATGTCTGGTACGCAATATACTCTTAATGGTGGTTTTTTTTTTTTTCTTAAATTTGGAAGGGTTCAATCTGACCCACACTATCTTTTTTTCTTAAATTAAAATCCATTTACAGATCTAGTCACCGATACCTTGGATCCTACCGATGAGGAGGAGCCTTTGACACCTCGGGTGAGTACAAAGTTTAACTGATACTTTGCTTCCTTCTCATTAGTTTAATAAGTGTATCTAGATATTTACCCCAAAAGTACAGCTTTTACAAAGAGTAAAATTGAAAAGGGGGGGGGGGTTGGTTTTTAATGTTAGAAAAGTTTTCTTCTGAACGGTATAATTCATTGCTGCATTTTGCCTATCCAGGAATTTTTTTTTTTTTTCCTATCGCTAGTTGGTAGTAAAATGTTGACCCACCTTACTTTAACACCAGTCTGGTAACAGTGTAGAGAATGTTAGTTTCCTACCCTCTTGAAACTCTTCTCCCCAAGCTCCCTCTGACCTTTCTTTTCTTTTTACCTACTGGCTCTCGTGCCATTAAGTATCTTGGATAATGACTTAAAACTTCTTAGCTTGTCTAATCTGTACACAGCTTCCAAATTTTCAGCATGCTATTCCTAAAATTATTTTTGCCGTACTATCTTGAAACTAACAATTCTTAAATGCTTTAATTTTTGCTTTAATGTTTAAATAATTTGTAACTGTCTTTGGCTCAAGAATTGTCTATAGTTTCAAAACAATCTGATCTTGCAGACAACTAGCGGAACTGCAAGTAAGGAAGACTTAGAGAGTCTGCCCACCACAGCCTCTCCTCCCACAACACTGTCTGCTTCACACAGGCAAGACTCTTGTACACACTCGGACTGCAAGTTTAATAAAAAGTTTAAATTTTCTTACTTAAAACTTTAAATTAAACTTATTTTTTTTTTTATACTTTTGTAAAGTTTTCGGTTTGGTGAACGGTGGCTGAAATTTAAGTTATAATCTTGTGAAAGATTTTGCTTGACAGAAGAAACTAAATGTAGTTCTTTAGTTTTAAACTAGTTTAAACTTTGACGTGCTATTTATCGATCATAGTTTTATGCACGCAGTCTCTGAAGACGAGGAACAAACATCAAACTCACAATTTACTTTTTACTCTCTAACCCTGTTAGAGAGTAGTCTTAGTTGTAAGGTTGTTAGAAACTATAATCCAGACTTCTTTGAAGACTTGAGGGTTACCTAGATTATGGAGACTACTTGCTTATCCAAAACTTTCAGGTAACTTATTTTCAATAAAACAAAACTGCTTCCCATTCTCCAGGCCTTCTATTACCATTAGGGGGGTTACCCCCTCCCTCCCTCCCTGAAAACAATTAAGTTAAAATGCCTCTCGGCTCGTGAAAGGCTAATTTTCTTTCAGCCAGGGCCACCAGGACCCTTCCAACGACACCCGTAGGGAGGAAACTGTTGCTGAGGCGTAACACTGCTGCCACGAGCCTCGGCCAGTCCTGGACACGTTGTAAGTTTTCCACATGGCAAAAGTAAATTTTGTAATTTAAAATTCCCTTCTGCCGTTTGGCGCTGATAAATCTAGTCAGAGAAAGTTTGACGAATTTAATATTTCGTATTTTTACTTTATAATAAAATAGCCTAGTGTACATATGTTCTGGTGTTGGCTGACACTGGCTCTCTCCCTACAGCTGTATCCGTACATCCTACAGCTGTATCCGTACATCCTACAGCTGTATCCATACATCGTACAGTTGTCGTGCTGGTGGTCGTGCACTCGGGCGTGTTCCTGTGACATTCCTCAGTTTAGTGCGAAAAGACTAATTCTAACTGTAATTCTTAAACTTTTAAATCATTTTAATTTGTTTAGTTTTATTAAATATTTTTTTATTAACTTCCTTTATTCTAAACCTACGAGAGTTGTAGACTACATGTTCGATGTTGACGAGAGGTAATGTGTGCAACAGTTGGCTAATATTTATTAAAGTATCGCCTTCACAGGTGTAGTAGAGAAATGAAGATGGACTGATTACAAAGTTTAGTGATACGAAGTGGTCAGTCCTTCAGCTGAGGGACTGACCACCTCGTGTCAACAATCTTCCTTTCCTACCACACCTACTGCCTCGGTAGAACTACTGTGTAGACGAAAAGTATCAAAACTAGATCCCGCTTTAGCGCTCTCTTTTATTATAATAGTACTAGATAACTTACTTTTGAAGATTGAGACACTTGTGCAACATGGGATTCTTTATTCAGGAAACTTTTCGCCATAGTGACTTCATCAGTCCAATACAAAGGTGTAAGGAGAGTAGTTTAGTTTGAGGTAATCAGTCCCTCAGCCTGGAGTCGACTGCAGGCTGAGACTGATTACCTCAAACTAAACTACTCTCCTTACACCTTTTGTATTGGACTGAAGTCACTATGGCGAAAAGTTTCCTGAATAAAGAGTCCCATGTTGCACAAGTGTCAATCTTCAACTTGTCGGTTTTTCAAACAATTCATCACAACTTTTGCACATGACTTAATAATCGTGTTGACATTTTAAACATGACCCACCACTTGCCATTACTTGATATCTCTCAATTTAACATTATTGAAGATCTTGGAATTAAATTTGTCTTAAATTTCTTAACCAGTTAAATATACACGGTCTGAACTTTAACACGGTGCACATCAGATTTATCAACAATTAATCTCGGAGGCAAGCTTATTTAACATTAAGATACTAGTTAGTATAAGCTAGTTAGACCCTATGCATTTGTCTAATGAAGTTAGTGTTTACAGTGTTTAAATCTGCTCCGAACAAGTGGTAAGTTATCGTACTGCCTCCAGAATACCTTGACAGTAAAAACTGATCTAAAATCTACGCAATTGGTCAGACCACTTTGTTCATGCCGGTGAATAAAGTTAAACAAATTGATTCCTCTTTGGATCTAGCACACCGCTGCATGACCCTTGTGGGTTTAGCTCTTATTATATAATTTGAATCGAACAAGATTGCTTCTCACTTGCCTGGTCTGTATGACCACGCTGTGGGTTTACCCAATATAAATTATCTTCCTGTCTATACTATTTTTTTCACTCTTCAGTCCTTGCCATTAATCTGACAAAAAAAAAATCCCTCCTGGGCTTCCTAATTAATCGGTGTTTAAAATTGTCACGGTGCCCGTGGGAAGGGGGGTCAGGTCTCTTGATTTTCCCCCATGAAGTTCCGAAATAAACTTCAGATTATTTGAGTTTTATATTCTTAGATTTTCATTTTATTTTAATAGTACAATCGCCGAATGACTTGCAAGCTGAAGGGCTCTGTAAATATCGTTTGTACCAAACTGCTGAGGCGACGAAAAGCTCTTGATCCAGGTAATAAAAGCTGCGTTTCTGTGGCTATTCCCAGGCACCGTGACAGCTACGGATTCAGCACTTCTTTCAGGAGCGTAGCCTTGGTACACGAGTCGGCGTTACAGATGGTACAAGATAGTTACAGCCTTCGGTTCAAAGACCCTTTAAAAAACATTAAAGCATCAATGGGTCATCGTCTGTGGCGAATGGACTAAATTACTTTAACTCCCTCTCATTAATAGTCAATTATGAGACTTCTTGCATCGGACCTTCAATGAAGTTCTTGATCCTGATGGGTGACTGTTGATCCACGGTAGTATAGCTGCACTTCCTCGCATCAACCCTGTTACTTGATGGGACCTTTCTGGGACTAGTGGTTTCAAAGCTTGCGGTCTTGAGTTTGAGCTACGAGACTTTAAGAAACTCTTCACTAGAGAATATCCGAGGCGGCGCTGCTTTGCGGCCAAGAATGTGTTGTTTAGGCGGAAAAGCAAAGCCCGTAGAGGGTCGGATAGGTAATGGGAGGTAGTCTCCATCAAGACATGTGGAAGAACTATTCCCTGGATCAAGAGCCTCTCGTAAAGGTAAAAAGGTCAGTAAGCCAAAAACTGACAGTTTACACACTATTTGCAATTACTTATTTACAGGTGAACAGAAGTACGCGCCTGAGGGGAAGGACCTTTATGCCAGGGCAAAGGGCTCCTGATCCAGGAAATTGACGCTTCCTTTCCTTGAATCAAATTTGACAGACTCGCGAAATCGTAAAGACACGATTGCAAACAAATCAAAGCAGTCATGTTGACGGCTTTGAGGGGACTTGAGTTAGAGTTCGTCACGGCCACGCTAGCTGGAGATTAGTGTGTAAAAACTTACATTTGTGGTCAGTGGTGCCTGTGCTAACCTTCCTGTGGTGTAGAAATATACCTAGTTGGATGAATCTTATTTTAGCCAGCAGCTCCAGTGGCAAAGGCATTGGTCTGGAGATATGAGACTCTAATCGCGGGTTTTAACTCCACCCGTGGTATGGCTTGACTGCCTCCCAGGAGTTGCGACTTCTAAGGATATAGCGCTTCCCCTTAAATATAATAGTGGGTGCTGTATAACTAAAACTGGTGTCGGAAGCACCGTCCTGACTCGTAGTGTTCAGTGGTACGTGTACATCTGCTTACTCAGCATCAGCGCTGTATGACCCTAGGGGATTTACCGCTTCCTTTTAATTACAATACTCTACACCACCATGATCTGCTCGCTCTGCCCCACCATGATCTGCATCGGCACGCTCTGCTCTCTGCACACCAGACAGTTATTTGCATGACATTTTAGACTACTTTGTCGCTTTCACCTGAAGCGCACTGGCTTGTATTAAACAAGCGCTAAAACCGTATGTTCCATGCAGTGCTGTGGTGGGTGTCTTCCGTCCACAACGTAACCCACCCGGGTCCGCCGCTTACTTTGTATTAATCTAATATTTCTATAGGAAACTATTACATTGTCTGCGGGAGGCTGCTTCCTTGCATATACCAGGTTGAACATTAAAATGGTATAAAATACCGACAGGTTGTTAGGTAAGACACATGTGCAACAGTTAGGTACCTTTATTTCGAAACGTTTCGCCTACACAGTAGGCTTCTTCAGTCGAGTACAGAAAAGTTGATAGAAGCAGAAGATACTTGAAGACGATGTAATCAGTCCATCACCCTTAAAGTTTTGAGGTGGTCAGTCCCTCAGTCTGGAGAAGAGCATTGTTCCATAGTATGAAACAATATGGAGATGAAGTGACAGGATGGAGCCTTATATAGCGCCAAGAGGTGAGACGTAGGTCACTAGAAGAGGTAAGAACTCAGATGCTGGGAGGGCAGGTCCTTCGACAACCTCCACTAGTGAGAACGGCTGGATTTGAGAAGGACCTGCCCTCCCAACATCTGAGTTCTTACCTCTTCTAGTAGACCTACGTCTCACCTCTTGGCGCTATATAAGCTCCATCCTGTCACCATCTTTTGTCATTCTCTCTCTAGATTGATTTCAAATTAATATGGACGATAGCTCGTCTTCAAGACTGAGACTCTGACCACCTGAAGAACTTAAGGGGTAGGAAACTGATTACAGTCTCTTCAAGTTCTTCTGCTTCTATAACCCTATTCTTAGTGGCTACTGAAGATACCTATGTGTAGGCTAGGAAACGTTTTAAATAAGTGGAAACATACTGGGTTGTACATGTGGTCTTACTAGACTACCAGGTTATTAACCCAGTATGGTGGCTTAGTGGGCTAGGACATGTACCAGGTTATTAACCCAGTATGGTGGCTTAGTGGGCTAGGACATGTACCAGGTTATTAACCCAGTATGGTGGCTTAGTTACCTTGTTACCATCATTTCATAGTGAAGTATGTACCACTGTTACTGAGGTGTGAGGCAGACGCACTACTGAAACCAGAGTAGATTTCTGGCTAAATGTTTGAAGCAAACTTGTGTAGGGGCTATTTAAGCTAGCGATTACTTTTAAAAATAGAAACTTGGCACAATGGTTGTAGCGGTGAAGAAGTGACGTAGCTTAGGATGACTGACTTCTGTGATGGGTAGGATATTCAACCTTGTTGATGAATTTAAAATTAGAGATGCTAGAGATTCCAGTGGGGGAGCGCTAAACCTGTGAAAGTTGCCCCCCTCTCCGTGATGTGAGGGTTGTTGCGTGAGTAATCAAGCAGACGTCCACAATGAGAGGTGGATGCAGAAAGAGCAAGTACCGTCCATTATACTCTTTCATTATATCAAAGAATTAGTATCGTGTTACATAACAGATGGCTGCTTGTGATTGAAGAAGTAACACTAGATGGATAAGATAAGATTTCGTTCGGATTTTTAACCCCGGAGGGTTAGCCACCCAGGATAACCCAAGAAAGTCAGTGCGTCATCAAGGACTAACTTATTTCCATTGGGGTCCTTAATCTTGTCCCCCAGGATGCGACCCACAC